GCGCGAAACGTGTTCGTGGATGGCTTTTCTTAATAAATCAAGAAATTGGGTTGGCCAAATATCACGGAGTAAGCTAAATAAAGGTTTAGTTTATTTTTGCTCCACTAGATGGCGCTCTGCCATCTAAAAAGCACATGTGCTCGTGGTCGGGAGATGCCTTTTTTATTTTTAATATCAACATCTGACCCACTTTTATTTTATTTTTTTCTATTGTTTTTCATTTATATATTTAAAAATGAAACATACATTGATAAGGCACAATTTGGATTATAGATTATAAACACAAGGTAATAAGACCGAATTCAAATAAATAAATAGTTTATTTATTTGGATTTGGTCTTATTAACTTGTGTTTATAATCTATAATCCAAATTGTGCCTTATCAATTTTACTGACTCCAGTGGACCTAAGAAGTTATTCTTCCTATGAGCTGAAGAAAATGAATTCCAAAGTGAATATCAATGTTGATGCTGAGCCATCATTTGAAGATTCTATACACACTATTTATTTATTTGGATTTCGTCTTATTACCTTGTGTTCTGCTATAAAAATATCTTAACTTTGAATTTATATTCAGTATAATGCGGCCTATGATTGTAGAACGACATTTGAAAATTATCCCGCATGTGTTTCTTTTGAACGAAAAATCGAAATTTATTCTAAGGAGAAATAACGATTATTTCTAACCTTAGAAATGAAGTATGAAAGGATTAATTGTGAAGAGTAATGATAAAGATCCCTGGTCACTTTTATTTTGTGGTTCATCATTACTCTTCACAATTCATCCTTTCATACTTCATCCCTAAGATTAGAAATAATCGTTATTTCTCTTTAAAATAAATTCGATTTTTCGTTCAAAAGAAACATTCGCGGTATAATTGCAATTTTCGTTCTTAAATTTATATATTTATAAAACTTTCCAACAAATTAAGAAGTATTTTAAAGGAATATAAATTGAATAAAAAAGAGAGAGGTGTCAAGGAGTACATTAATAAGAAGTAAACAGGGGATTATATTTTTTATAGAGAGTAGATTATCGTGTGAGGGGGAGAATTAAAGTAAAATTGTGTCGCTTTTTATATTTATTTATTTTCATCCTTTAAGGAAGTTTCTTCACTCCCGTATATAGAGAAAATTGTATAAATATGGATTTAGCTATCTTTTTAAATATATTTATGACTATCTTTCAAACCTGAAAGGTTCAGGTTCCTAATATATATTATTGCTTATCTTTTTTATTTTTGATTACTTTTTCTTGTATAATATGTTTATAACTGATTCTATAATACAATATAATATAATGCGCCTATGATTGTAAAACGATATTTGAAATACTATCCCGCATGTGTTTCTTTTCAACGAAAAATCAAAATTTATTTCAAGGAGAAATAACGATTATTTCTAACCTCTTTGATGAGGTATGAAAGGGTGAATTGTGAAGAGTAATTCAACTTTATTCAACTTTATTCAACTTTATTCAACTGTAAATACAAGCGCGATGTCCCGCCAAGGACACTGGCGCCCAAAGGAAAGCAACACAAGAGAGAGAGAGAGAGGGAGAATCTATTAACATATGCTCAAGGCATTTACCATATTCCTGAAATTGATTTCAAACAAGCATACTATATACATAGGTAATTTAATTTAAACACATCTCAAAATAAAGAAAAAGGAAAAAAAATTCATAAATACAGCACATAGTTAATTATACCTAACACATAAGATTATTTAAAAACTTTGATATATATTTACAAAAACTATTGAATACAATGTATGAATCCCTGCTGGATATCAGTTCTCTTGGATCGGTACAGAGAATACCGTTATTGAGTCTGTAGTCTTGAAATGCTGGGCACTTAAGTAAAAGGTGAGTAGAATCTTGAATGCGGCATCCACAAAAACAGCCCGGATCCTCCGATGCATGGATTCTTTCCAGAAAACTTCCGAAATTACCATGGTTGGTTACAAATTGTGTGTTGTGGAAATTAGGGCGAAAATAACTTGGAATACCCCGGTTGAAAAAACTTGTAAATGTCTCGTTTGTATTATTCAGTAAGAGCAACATTCTTTCGTCTATATAGGATTTAATTATAAAGGGAATATCGATGTTGTATTTTTGCTTGTCCTCGAACGATAAGTTATTTAAGTCATATTTCATATTTTTTGCTTCAATGTAATCTGCAATCAAAGGAACCCTAGCCAAACTGTGAAGACAGTTGTACGAAGTTGTCTTGTATGCTTGAATGCTCCATATTAGTATCTGATATTGCATTGAGTTTAATTTTTGTATCGATTTTTTGTTTAAAAATTTGAACCAGATTTCTGATCCATATGTTAAAGTTGATCTGAATAAAGATTTATACAATGTAATTCTTTTATGGGAGCTCAAACCCCATGATTTGCTGCACAGAGAGAATAGAAATTTTTTTATTCTTAGAGTTCTGCTCACTATTTCCTCTATATGAAAAGCAAAATTTAATTTGTTTTTTCTTCTATGATTTTTGATCTGATCTTCTATTTTTTGTACTGGTGAGATTAATCCACTCTTAAATTTAACTGGGATCTTCTCTTTATTATGCAAATATAAAATGTTTGTTTTTTCGGAACTGATTTCTAACTTGTTCTTAATACACCACAATTCGATAGTATTTATTGCTTCCTCTATAACTGTTTTTAGTGATGTTAGATCTTTATTCCAGCATATGATCGAAATATCATCCGCATAACAAATCAACTCACTATTGGGCACCTGAAAATTCAACAGCAAATCGTTCAACAAAATTGTCCATAGAAGTGGAGAAAGCGGACCGCCCTGAGGACACCCCTTAGTAATTGGCTTTGAAGTTGTTAGATTGTCGTAACTGAATGAAATGATCCTGGAATTTAAATATGATTGTAGAATTTTGATCAGTTTTTCCGGTAAATTGTCTGAATCTATTCTTTTGATGATCGCTGGCCACCAGGCATTATCAAAAGCCCCCGAGATATCTATTGTAATTAGTGCAGACAGTTCTTTTTGCTTATGCTCCATTAATACATCGATTACAGTATTCAAAGCAGTGATAGTTGACTTTGACTTGATAAATCCGTGCTGCCTCGAGCTTAACAGATTGTTTTGAATATAAAATTCATATATTTTATTTTTGAGAATTTTTTCTAGAATCTTTGAAAAATTGGATAATAAAGATATCGGACGGTAGCTTTTAGCTGATTCATAATTGGTTTTGCCGGGTTTGGCTATTATTTTGAGTGCTGCTGTTTTCCATTTTTTTGGGAAGTATCCTATTTGAATACATTTATTAAATAATGAGTGTAAAATCGGAAGTATTAGTTGAAAAGCATTCTTTATCATATTATTACTAATATTGTCTGGACCAGGAGCTTTATTTACATTAATTTTGTCGATTATCTCTTCTATTTCTTTCTTATGAATATTGCATGAGTTGAAGTTTGTAAAATTCGGTGTATAGTTCCTTATTGATATATGGTGAGCAGTATCCGATATAGTTGTATCATCAGGAATTAGTTCATCAATCAGATCTTTTATTAGAGATTCTTTAGAATCTACTGGTGCCTGCTCAATTATTGGTAATCCCTTTTGTTGATTAGAGTAACTCAGTTTTTTTAAGGTTCTATAGGCGTTTCCAAACGGATTATTAGATCCATTTTCTTCTATAAAATCTCGCCAACTATTCCTCTTAGCTTTTCTTATACTATTTTTATATTTATTTCTGACAGACTTATATTCATTAACACTAATTGCTTTATGATGAAAGTATAGATTTCTCACATAATGAAAATACTTTTTCTTTTGTTCTAATTCTTTGTTCCACCACTTGATCCCGGTATCGAAAGTGAAGTTGGAAGATTTCACCTCCAGTGATTGATATGCAGCTTCCAGAATTATATCCGTTAGCCTGTCAACTACCATGTCAATATCAGTTTCTTTTTCGACCTTTTTTATATCGTTTTCCAATCTTCTTACTTCCTGTTTAGAAATTGTATTTGAAAACAGTGACCAATCTGCTTTCTTTTCGCTAAATTTCCATGTAGATTTTTGTTGATTGTTTGTAATATCTAAGTTAACATTGATATCAAATGAAACTGTCACATGGTCGGAAATATTGGTTAATTCAAAGGTTTGCCAATTGTTCACCAGTTTCAATGAATGTCTATTTGAAATAGTGAGATCTATTATGCTTTTATTACGACAGGTAGGAGTTTTGTTATTGTGAATAAATAGATTATATTCATTAATAATAGGTTGCATTTTATATCCGTAATGATAAACGGAAAAATAAAAGTGTCCAGGGATGGCTATCGAACCCACAGTGTTCCGCTTACCGGGCAGATGCCATGTCCACTAGGCTACCCTGGACATATTTTTCCGTTCGTAAATAATATGATTCTGTTTGAAAAAATGTAAATCGACGCAATTATCCCTAGCCGAAATATCCCGTTTTATGTGTTGATATAAAGAAAAAAAAATTGTATTATTCATAAAATTATATAAATCAATTTGATGTTACAGTAGAAATACTATTTTTTAATATTGTAGCGTTGAAATCAAGTCTTTGTATATCTGAAGATGTATTTATTGATGACGTCAGTACGACTAGTCGACATTTATCAACCAAACTATCTACAGCTAGAGAATATCGAGCAAGCATGCTAAGGAATATTTTATGATATTTTACAAATACAGAGTAATAAATATTTAAATATTCTGTTGAATATTTTCATTGAATAATTAAATGAAATTAAATAATAAAATATTGTAACAAAGTATTTATTAATTTTATTATTTTTATTAACAGAGTGGTCATTTTTATGTTTATATTTTGCTACTCTCTCTCTGTAAATTTCCCTTGTGGGTTTCTTTTGTTTACCATTCATAGTTTGTCCTTGCCTGAAATAAATTGTTGTCTCATCCCGAAGTTGGACTTCCCTAATTTCCCCGTGGCAATATAAATTATTTCTTCGCTACAATATAATAACAAAAATTGAAATAATATTTCTTTTTGATTATGTTCATTATTTTAAATGTTTTAGTATTAAAATTGTTTCTATGCTTATTTCTTTTAATTTATATATATTTTTATTTTTTAATATACGAGAAAACCAAATATGAACAAAATTTCATCTTTCTTCTTAAAAAAAAAAAAAAAAGAAAAGATGACCGACGATATCAAATACTTTCCACTTCCTATATATCCTCCTGTAAAAGATAAATAACCAACTCAAAGATTTATTTAAGAAATGAACCATCGAGAGAACGATTTTTATTCTCAAATAAAACAAGGAGCATTGTTATGTCCTTACTGCGATGAAAAAAATATTGAGAGGGCTTGGCTCATCAGTGATGGACCCTTCCAGCAGTTTCGCCAATTTAATCTACAAGATCGCTTTAAGAGTTCTAATACTGTATTGAATTATTCTACTTCTATAGGTTACATTGAAGTAAGGAAAGTTATCAAAATTCGAAACTACCTATTATAGACGCGTATGATTCTTTTTGAAAATTAAACAATTTCTACTGTCCTTACTGCAATGGAAAAATTAATGGGAGGGCCTGACTCATATTTTATAGCTCAAAGTTATGGTATTTAGGTAATATATTAAGATAGAAAGATAGTTTTCAGGGATAAGTTTATTATAAGTGGTTTGACTTAGGAGCTTTCTCTCTACTATACCCACGAAACTAAATTTATATATAAAAAATGATCATCCTTAGCTTCATATTTTTCATTATTAGCATAATATAACGTTTCATTTTTGCTTATCCCTAGTACACGTGGTACAGGCCATGATAATCATGGTAGGTATAAGTAGATGACTGCTTTTACTGTAAGTGCACCACATATCTACACATGTGAAAAGCAGATCAAATTTGCACTTTAAAATGTGCCAGAGTTCCCTTTGATTACTTGCTGGTGGGGTTGGACTTTTTCAAGAATCTGGGGCGATTGGAACATGTATATTGAAGCATGTAAAGATAGAAAATGAATCGACAAGTTAAATTGAATTTTGTCCAAGACAACACGTATTTAGATAAATTTAGCGCATCAAAGAAACTATATAAAATAAAATTTATCCATGGAAACTTGATAATTCCACATTGTTATTGAAATAAAGCATTATTTTCTTAACTCCGCCTTTGCCGGTCCCAAGCCCGGATGCAAAAGGAGGAGGGGGAGCAGTAACAAGCTCGATAAAAAAACTTGGGTTCAGCTGGCCCGGCTGATAGTACCCTGTAAGGGCTCCTGATCCAGGGATACAGGATGAGTTGTACTCCATGTTAGGAGCAGCTGTACATGGCATCTGTTCCTCATGTCAGAGGCGGCCATTTCTTTTGGAGCTAAGTCGGCCTGCCACTGAGTAGTGCTCCAGTCTTAATGACAAAGGCATTCTACTTCACCCAATATGATGGTTGTCAAACAGACACCATCACAACTTGATACCCTAATATGATTGAGTGGAGGATTATTTTCTATCAATATGATGAATTAGCGCCCCATCTGTTATAAGAAATTTAAACTATTTTTATCACGTTTGATTATTTTTGAATTGGAACATTTTGCATTAAGAGCATTCAAAATTCGAAACTATTTTAAAGGCGTAAGATTCTTTTTAAAATTAAACAATTTCTACTGCCCTTACTTTCTTTGAATTTATAGAGGAAAATTCATGAAATAGGTATTGCTTTGATAAATCACACACATATATCGTATATAAATTATCATTGCCAGGAAGCTGAGGCGTGTGGAGTCGGGAGAGGTGAACATGAGACACCAGAAAAAGACATGAGCCACAAGGCTGAGACGACCATAGAAGAGATCCAGAAAACGATCTTTACCATTTGAAAATTAATCTTACGCCTTTAAAATAGTTTCGAATTTTGATAACAGATGGCGCGCTAGGGCATCATATTAAGAGCATTAGAAAATTGTAATTAAATAATAACCATACGCATCAAAAATAGTTTCTTATAAGTATACTATGTAAATAAGCTTTGAGGATAGTAGAAATATATGTAAATATGGAATATCAAAATTCGAAACTATTATAGACGCGCATGATTCTTTTAAAATAAAACAATTTTTACTGCCCTTAATAAAATAAGGGCAGTATAATTTTTTTAAATTTTGAATAGAATCATACGCGTCTATAATAGTTTCGAATTTTCATAACAGATGGTGTGCTAATTAGGGCCTCCAATCCCGTAGCCAAATAATGATCCCGAAATCCCCGGATTCTGCTCGAAAAATCCCGGGATTACAATCGATGCAATAAAACATCTTTAGTCCTCCAATATCTGCACAATACGCAAGCACAGTTAGAAAAAAAGAAGATGGTCAAATACTTTAGCGTGAAATTGCTTTTGCGTCTTAAACCGTTACAGGAACAAATGGCCGAAGTAAGAATTCAGGCTGATAATTCGCAACTTCCTCGGAGTTTACAAGAACGCCATGAGCCATCACAATCGAATGACAATCTTACAATTGAGCGCCGATTGCAAGAAGCTATTGAGGCTGCCTCTTCAACTTCAATTGCAATACCTACACCAAACTCCGCATCCTACTCAACTATGATTAACCACGAACTTAATATTGCTGCTCAGTGAGGCAAACGAGGACCCCATTTAGAGAGTGTGTATCAATACTTGCTGACAATTCCTCCAACGTCTGTGGAATCGGAAAGAGTCTTCTCCTCCTCTGGATACCTATGCAATAAGATACGTTCTAGTTTGCATGATGACACTCTTGACAAATTATCTTTCCTACGCTCAAATCGTTCTCGAAATTGAATTTTTATCCTTAAAATAAAGTATTTCATGGTTTTTAAAACGGTGCTGTCTTCTTTCTAAACATTAATACATAGTTGGGCAAAATGCAATAATGATTACATTTTCTATAATCACAATTGCAAATAATCATGATTACATTTGCTATAATTACAATTACAAGTAATTTTAATTACAATTGCTATATATCATTATATATAGAATTACGAGTAATTATGTTTACATTCTAATGCAATTATTTTTTTTTGCAAAGTAATGCATTGCAAAGTAATCGTAATTACAAGGTAATGTATTACTTTTAATGGATTACTGCCCAACACTGCATTAAGAGATGTGGTCTAAGAGTTCCAAGAACAGTAATATTTCCAGATGTGTGTACAGTAATTGACAGATAATTTCGAACTGTAACCCAAAAGCAATGATTTCGTTCATAAGCAGGCGCAAAATATATGGCTTCCAGGTTGTTTTCATCGAAGTAAGTGCCACGTCATTGGCACTATATAAAAGAAAAAAATAAAAATATAACGAACGAAACGATATACCTCTTATGCGTAGAAATACGAAAATGTTTTTCAATCCCGGGATTGAAAATATGTACCGGGATTGGAAGCCCTAGTGCTAATGCATCAAAATATGGAATATGTGTAAATATATGAAGAGATAAAATCAAATATCGGTTAGTTAATTGAACGGTTTACAACATCGATGAGCAGAATCATCTTCCAAAGGGGGTTGCTGGCTAAATCAGATTTCCATTATTTAGTTGTTAATGAAGGGAAAAATGCGGGGAGAGAGGGAGGGTCGGCTATCAATTTACATGACAACACCAAATAAAGATCATCCGCGCAATTAAGGGCCCCCGACACCTTCAATAAGAAGCCGTCCCTGCACGTGGCGAGGGTGACCTGGCCCCTCACCCCCTCCCTCTCATCAGAATCCTTGCCCCCTCCCTACAATACCTCTTTTCATACTTCCCCGACCACTTCTATTGAGAGGTTTCCTTCACCAGGCAACCTGTATTGAAACACACGATAGATCTTGTTTTTGCTGGAGCTTCCTTTAATATTGAAGTTTTTAAAGTTGACCTGTAAAAGATTTTTACTCGGTAATGAGATTTGAAATCAATATCTAACCTACTTTCAATTTAGATAGTCTACTCTATGCTTTCTCTGAATTTATAGAGGAAAATTTACGAAATAGGTATAGCATTGATAGATCACACACATATAAGGTATGTAAATTATCGTTGTCAGGAAGCTGAGGCATGTGAAGTTGGGAGAGGTGACCATGAGACACCAGAAAAAGACATGAGCCACAGGGCTGAGACGACCATAGAAGAGATCCAAAAAACGATCTAGACCAGGTGACAGAAGATCAAACAGACAAAAATGAAAATAGATCAAGGCTAGAAGATTATTTAATTGAGGAACCACAAAGAGATGCTATAGAAAGACTGCTAAAGATCTTCAAGGTCTTTGACATCAGGGGACAATATCTACGAAGGCCAGGAGCACAGAAGTGACCAGGAGTTAAGATTAAAATATTATAAAAAATATATATTAATTATAATAAAT